CCGTTATGCTCTTGACCGTTGCAGGAATGCAATTTAGACTAAGAGGTACGACCCGGGCAACTATTGACCTCAGTCGATCTTGTGAAAGATTAAGAATGGATCCATAAGTTGGTCACCGTTGAATGTTGGCATGAATGGTCTCACGATTGGGTTCAGCCGAGGCCCTCAATAATCTTGTGATTAAATTCCATGCAGTCTATCTACCGTGCCAACGATTTCATTGCATCAGTTCTGTTCTAGTCGCACCATTTTGAGATCCTGATTCCATTTACTCCTCATGGTGTCGGTTTTCGAGCATTGTTGTCCACGCCGCATTGCATGAGTCTGGTGGGGAAACCTTGAGGGTAATGCTGAGGTTAGGCGTAGAGTTTTGGATAATCCTGGTCGTCCACTGGAGCAAGCAGTCGACCTCCATAGACTACTGTGGTTGGGACGTGCGCTACGCATATCACCAGATAGTTTACCATGGCGAGCGATGTTTGCCGAGGTAGGCAAAGGATGGAAAAAGGTCAAGGGCGGTCAGACGAAGACCTGGCACGACAGTACGAGAACCCTAACCAGGAGACTGGGTCACACAGGTCCCGTTAGACTCCTTCAATGGGGACCCCGAGGTCATGGTAACCGGTGGTGGAGTGATATGATTGGGTGTCGCAAACAATGGCACTCATGCATCTACCCATTGTTCTCTTGACATCAGTCTATATGAATTCTCTATTTTCTGTTTGAATGGGCTTTTAACATTCCAATCTTCGTTCTTCTCTTTTATGCAAATGAGCAGCTCAAAGACAGAAACCAAAACCGGCACATGAAAGTGCAAGGCTAAAACTGAACTGAAATGGACTGATGGTGTAGCACCATTTTAATTCGCCGCCGAACATTCATGTCGGAACATGGCGACCAATATCTGGATCGATCTTAACTTGACTCATCAGACCGATTGAGATCAATAGTTGGCCGGGTCATTCCTCCTAACCAAAAGCGTACTCCTCTAACAATCAAGAGCATAACGTTCCCCGAGGGGGTGCGGGGTGGGTGGGAAGGCAAATCCAATTCCATCGGTAGCTCAGTCCAAAAATACTTCTGCGTGGTTACGAAGAAATCATACATTCTGACTGGACGGACGTCTCAATAGACCGGATTCAATAGGTGATGTGTGACAGACGAAGTACTATACTCACTTTGTGGGATCCCCAATTGGTGAATTCACTTGCAGTTTAGGTAGATTCACTTTTCCACACTTCACCGGTATTTTCCGAATTTATCCGTAGGTGAAAATAGTGACACCGATTCACACCCAGGTGGAGAGCTTTTTATGTACACGGCATCGGATTACTGGATGTGGTGGGTTTACCCCTGGCAAGGGTTCTCCGTACAAAACGCCACATATCTGCGGACAGCGCTGTGACGTGGCGAGTGTGGCCCGCTACTAAATAGGGTCATTGCTCCTTGTCAAGATCCATTGCTCGACAGGGTTTTCCAGAAGAGGCGAATGAACCAACTACTGGACACCGGATCGTCTGGTATATCGCTGCTGACTTGCAGTCCGCGCTTGGTTGCGCAAAGGCTAGAGTGAACCCTCAAACAAGGCCTACTCCGGACCGGGCGACCGAGTAGTACAACAGCCCACAACGCCAACAATGATGAACTCTTCGAAATCTTCGCGTGTCCAGTTTACTGTTTCTTCAACTAAAGCCAAACACTCTACACCGTACACACACTCGCGTCCTCCCAGCCCTCCCGCATCACACATCCGCCCCCGTCACCCAACCCTTTTCTCGGGATCCTCAGACGATCATGTAAACATTAGTGCCTCAGATGGAAACTCTGCCGCTGTTCCCTCATGTCCTACCTCGACCACTGTCCAAGTCTCACCGATTCCTCCACCAG